GCGCTGTCCAGCGATGGGCACTTACTTGCGCTGACATCGCCAGAAACTTTTACCATACAGAGCCGCTGTAGTAGAGATACATGGTACTAGATTCATATCCAGACGTGCTTGTTGCTATGATTATGGACGACTGTGGTGATGAGCGAGTGGACCTCGGGTTGCTTAGTAATGATGACATCATTGGCTATTGATCCTTCCGCGTTCTCAATTATGGGAAGGTTGCAAGTTCCTACACATCACGCTGATCTCACTCTGCCTTTGCTATCAACGACTGTGAATCTTTCGGGTTGATCATGCTTCACCACATTTTTTCCAAGATTGGGCGTGGCCCAAGAAGCCTGGTGCGTTACAGTGTCCACGACGTTTGCGGTAAACACGTACGAGGATGATCGAATCTTCACAGGCCGACGCTTGACATGCGTAACTATTGACATGTGGTGGGTATTGGAAGTCGCCCTTGGGATTCCATATTAAGCATCACACGAAGAGCGCACCCGCACGCAATACAAAGCCGTCCTTTTCTATGCGCATGCCCTCCCCATCGTATCTCCTGCATTTCTATCTATCATCATCGTACTCACATCAGTATCATATTCCGAATTGGCTTTTCAGCTTGCGACATGTTTACCCTCCGTATTTCAGGCCGATTTCGCCGTTCTGTGCTGACTCGCCGGCACCCGATTTCGATTTTTGCGTTGAGTGCTTACCCTGACGAGGAACTGGTCATGGCTTTTCATATCCTACTGGAAGAGATAGAAGTCCTACGACTGGAAGGCTTCTCGTTAGTGGCTGACGATATGATGATCACCGCTCAAAACATCGTGGATTTGGTGTTCTCAAGTCATGGCGGATGGGCTTTCCTCCAGCTTGGACAGCACCAGCAGTCCTTCCTCCAGCAGATGCAACAGAATTACTCTTTCAACTTGCCCCAACCAAACTTCTTCATCAATCAGCAGATACCACCACCAGCGATGATTGGCCAGGCTCCCACCCAGAATGTTGTAGTGCACTCGCATATAGCTTCAGCTCCCACCCAGAACGTTGTAGTGCACTCGCATGGAGCCCCAGCGCCCGCTCAAATCCAAGGGTCCTCCGAACAAGACAAAAACGAGCTCTATCTCGACCGACTCAACAAAGACAACAACCGCAACGAGAAGATGAAGAACAGATACGAGGATGAACTAGCCGTGAAGGAGCGAGCCAGGTTGGAAGCTGAAGCGAAGAAGACGATTGAGGCAGCGGAAGAGAAGGCTCGTAAGTTCAAGGAGGCCCAGGAAAGATTCGAAAGGAACAGGATTGAAAATAATTTGAAAGAGGACACAACACTGCGCATTGACGAAGCGAAGAGCATACAAGACGAGCTGGATCGTAAGACGCGTGAGATGACGGAGAGGACAGAGCAGGAAAAGATTGATGCTGCACGAAGGTTTGCGCAAACACGTCAGGAAGCAGCCGCAAAAAGGGAGCAGCAGAGGCGAGAGGAGGAGAGGCGAGATCAGGAGAGGCGAGATCAGGAGAGGCGAGATCAGGAGAGACGGGATCAGGAGAGGCGGGATCAAGAGAGACGGGATCAGGAGAGACAGCGACAGCTGGATGCCTCCAGAAACCGAACAAATGACTTGGATAGTCAATCATACAACCAGCAGCGCGTGCTACCGGAAAGGGAAAGACCACGGCGGTCCTCCCCGATCCCACAAAATCAGCTCGTTTCTGACGACGACGATGACGACTCCGACAGCGACGAAGAAAAGCGGAAAGACCCGTACGAACTCATTGGTCTGCCCGACAGAGGGCGCACACCAGTCAAAGACATCGAGACTACCCAAACAGTGTTGAACAAGATCCATCAGAAGACACTCGATACTGCGATGTCAGACTCCAAGAGACAACATGCTGAGAAACGTATGGTTGAGATCAAGTGGGCAGCGGCCATTCTCTTGGATGAAATGAACAAGAGGGCTTATGATGAGGCTGGTGCTATATTTCCTCACGAACAGCAAGCGTGGAGAAAGAAGAGTAAGTGAACCTTCCAAAATTTATGATACATAGGCTAATCGACACGAGTGTAGATGGCATCAGTGGTGCTGGCGGTTGGAAGTAAATCTCTGGGTAGGGTTCTACAAGTTTTTTTCTTGCCTGAGATAGCCATAGCCATGTTCCGTTTGTAAATGAAGCATTTCATCTGTAACATTACTTTGTGAACACGAATGCGCATCATCAGTATTGACGAATGGTTTGCTTGAGAATTTAGACGAAGCTGGTTGTTGTCGCCAATACCACAGCAAATATGATCGTTCTCACGCGAAGGACCATGACAGCCAACGAAGCCAGGCTATATCTATCAAGCGGTAACTGGCGTAAAGATGTTGACAGTGTTCGCGTGGACAGCTCTATAGTTTGTAGCCAGCGAAATGGAAGAACTCTGCATCATTCCAAGCTCAGAACAAAGATAGACGACCCATGCTTTTGGCAATATAACTGTGCCTTGCTGCACAGCACTTCTATCCCCTTTTCTATTACTCTCGCCTAATTTTCATACATCAGAATGTATCATATCGACATGAACAGCCCGCCAACAGCAAGTATTCGAGCAGACCCCGAGAGCCCTGCGTTACCTTCCGCGGCACTGGGCGCAACTCGCGGGGCTCGACAGAATGCGTACGAAGCAGAGTCACTGCTAGATTTTGATCACGATAGGGTCATAGTTGCTTCCTGGGGTCAATACCAGACATTGAATCAGATGCGCGCCTCACCATACTACACTTACATCCGACTACCCATGTCCTCAGACACCATGTTTGCACCTCCTCTATTTCCAGATCCTTCACCAAGTCGAGAATGTACTATAGTAAGACTATGTCCAGCCAGCTTTGAGAGTCGCGATATACATACTGATCAAGAACAGCCGGAACAGTATGTTACCCTCCACGCTGTTCATCCTATACCAACGCGATACCTACGTAGCCTCGCGCAAGATCAGTTGGAGTTTCTGTTCGGCTACTGGACTGAGAAGAGGATCCAGCCTGATGGTGAGCTTGCTAGACGGATGTGTGAGACGGTGGAGGCTATTGGACAGATTATGCATGAGGGAGAAGATGAAGTCCTGTGATTGTTTGGGTTATGTTGCGCATGGTTAAGGGCCCGTGTTATTATGTACCGTGTATCCTTAATTTAAGATTCCCTTGATTAGTTCGCTGTGAGCTTCAACCGCCCCTTGGCGCGTTCCTTCTATTCCTCCATACCTTTCGTGGGACAAACTATATGCAGCGACGAAATAGAAAGGCCATGCCTTGGATATACGTATCGCCAGTGAATAAGATCAGATTTTGTCAAATTCGTCAAAATAGATTGGCACTGTTCCCTTGATAGAGCACTGGTATGACGAGTAGCATCAGCAAGGAACGTGACAAATATTGGTTTGGTTTGGTTTGGTGAAGTAAACAGTGCCAAGCTTTTGTTGTCAAAAGACAACGGACATCGAGAGTCCGTCGAGGTAGCGTTGGTTGACTTGATCCAGACCAGGAAAGAGACGTACAATGTCAGCAAAGCCAGCTACCTTTCGCGAACACTTGTATTACATGGTGAGTTGTTGCCAACGGCAAGTGGTAGCGGCATGCCTATAAAGTCAATGGGAAGTCAACTTTCTGCTCAGCACAACCAGCATCCTCAATACTTCTTTGCACCAAGACTCATTACCATACTGCGAAGCGCATCAAAACACTGACATCAATCTTAAGTCCAAACACCATTACTACAACATCTTACAATATGAGCAACGAGCCCACCACACCGATGCCGACTCCTGGCCCCGAGACTCTCGCGCAGCCCTCGACCGCACGTCCCCTAGTCGAACTCCCGACTCGCCCTTCCGCGCGTGGTGCATCTAGTGGAGTTGCCCCGGGCACCGCGCCTGGCATGATCGCGCCCACTCGCCCCATGCAACTGCGGAAATTCGTCTCTCAAGACTTCGAGGAAGTCGTCACTTTGTGGAGCGGCTATACCACCCGTGATCTCGTCGTCGAGTCTCCCTTTTACACCAAGACGACCATCATAGTCGATCCTCGCGCAAAGGCCCAGTTCCCCGAGAAGAGCGACATCACCGAGCGAATCGTGCACGCCGTACACCCGATTCCTCGCAAGCAGGTTCAGAACCTGGGTCCAGTTTGTCTGCACAATCTAGGCGCGGGATTAGATGAGGAGCGATGGGATGTCAACAGGTCTCCTGAGTTCAACGATCGTGTGCAGGAAACTCTGGCTCGTATTGACGACGCTTTGGAGTTCATTTTCCGTGTTCATTTGCCTGGTACTCGGATTTTTAGCGGAAGACAGCCTTCTGTGTTGTAAGCTTGAGTGAGGATAAAGGTGGAAGTTGGTGGGGGGAGACCAGCAAAAGTGCTTGCTGCTGCTGCACAACAGCTCGATTGGCGGTATCATGTACTTGATAACAGATAGCTCTAGTGCACAAGCTGGAACCAATGACATATGGCTCAATTGACCTCTCAAGGCCTGAGTTTCGTGAGTAATTAGCCCGGACTGCTGTGATTGTTCGCAATAAGTGTCTACCTAGTGCATGCCGCACGCGCCGTGTGTACGCCAGCGCTGGAAAATCGAAAGTACTGGGTACGATCGTGAGATCTGCTTTTTCAGTAGATGGATCGGAATTTGCGGAGAGGAGTACCGGCAAATGTGTCCGTGATGGTACATAGTCTCGACAAACCGAGCAGTCGCGTTCACGCGTCACAGCCGCGATCCTTCTGAGCCTAGGTCCGCCGCTAGCGCATGCCATTACATGGGCCACCACCCCAATCTTGTGCGCGAGTTGATGCGAAAACTATAAATGTGCATAGGTAGAAATCGGTATCTAAACCATCTCCCACCATAAATCCGAGACGCCTTATCCTTATTGCCTGTACCAAAACACCCATCGCTGATGCATAGCCCCAAAACCCAGCACCCATCCAAGTCCATCCCATAGGTACCATTCCACCCATATACGCCATTCACAAATTGCCGATAACAACCATGAATCTCAATTTGCCATCCGTCTTCTTGCTTGCAGCTGGGTTGGCACCAGCCAGGGTATCATCTCCGCCGTTATTGATCGTGATTTCGTCCAGCATCAAAGTGCTGCTCTTCCATCCCCAGCTCTGACTGAAATTGAAGCGGTCAGGCGCGCTTTCATAGATGCTGAGCATCCTTCCACCCTTGGAGGGGCTGTAGATCTTAAAGTAGGTTTTTATTGTGGGGCGGCCGTCGACATAGGGAGGAAGTGCAGGCATGACGGCTCGCGTTTTGCGCTGAACTCTAGAGGCGAGAGAGGGGTTGATGTAGGCGGCGGCGTCTGACTCGTCGTCGTCATCGGATGGGTCTGAGTCGTGTTCGGATGGCGAGTAGGGAGCGTTAGCGAAGGAGGGAGAGTCTATGGTATCGCCGTCTTGGGGTGGTGAAGAGGCCAGATTCTGGAAGCCCCATTGTGGGATACCGCGAGTGGGTAGACGACTACGATGGCGACCAAGACTGCCGCTAGAGAAGAGTGGGTTGCGCAGTCCCAGAGAGCCGAGAGCAGGGTCGGGATCTCCACCACTGCCAGAGGTATCCTCTTCAGCAGCAGGATCCATGAACGGAACTCGGGTGCTGCGCCGCCGATCACGTCGGTCACTACGCATGAGCATCTCGCGCTCTAGCTGGCCGATACGCTCATCAACCGAGCCGTTGTTCTGTTGGCTGAGACCACTGACATGTCCAGCCTCATCTACCTCTCGCTCCTTGGCACGGTGGAGATATACACCCAACTGGATATTCTTGGCAGAGCGAACTTTCTGAATGTAGATGTTCCACAGAGAGCCTGCGTAGGATACCGTCCTCGAATAGACGCGCTTCTTCTCTTTGAGAAATCGTGGATTAGGAAACTCAGCCGAGAAGCGGAATGGAGGAAATTCGGTGTAAGCGATTGGTTTTGGCTGACCAGCGTTGCCGCCACCAGCAGAGATTGGGCGTTGTGCAAAGTCCATGCGAGTATTTGGGTTCGTCAACGTCGACGGAGTAGATGCAAAGTCGGTGGCCCATTGCGCATCCTCTGGCTGTATTGTGGCTGAAAGACGTGAAGCATGGCGCTGGAAAGAGTTGGATGTCGTGACAACAGGATCCGCACCGTTTCCCAAGACAATGTTGCAGTCCGAGCTTGGGATCCAAAACTTCCGTGGCTTGCCATTGCCGTCCCAACTATCCGACTCGATGTCGCCTTCGTCGATAGGATCCGCCAACTCTTTTTGCTTTCCTTTGTTAGTGAGCTCGCTTCCAGTCTTCGTCGCCACATTCGCGTCTTCGGGGTCTGGGGTTGATTGACATAGACCCAGCTCCTGAGCAGACTCATCGGTGTTGAGCACCCTCTGGCGAAGAGCCAGTTGCTGCCATAGCGCATTGGAGATGACCCTTTCAGGCATCACTGGTAGGCCAAATACGTCGCGAGCGTTCCGGATAAACTCAAGCTGCTCGTATTCCATGTGAATGTAGTGGATGCCCTCGTCTAGCAACACGAGTATGCGCTCAATGTCGGGCAGCGTGTAGAGAGCAAGCCAGTCAGCTTGCGCGTCGGATGAGGAATGCGCCGTTGTCAGGGCATTCTGTCGATAAACACCGTCGAAGCGAACTGCCATGAGACGAAGGGAGTTGGGTGCTTGTGGGATGGGTCTCTGTCCTCGCTGGATAAGCCCAGCCTCGATGGCTGCTTGACGTAGCCGGCGGTCGAGAAGACGCTTGGAAAGTACCCAGCGGTCCCACTCGCTATCCACGAAGAACCCGTCAGACCCTACTAGCTCACGAACTATGTCGCCGGGCATATCGTCCCAGTATTTGAGAGGCATTTCCCAGCCGTTCCTGCTTAGCATCGCCTTGGCCGACTCAAGTATGCGGTCTCCAGATCGGCCATAGTAGTTGGAGGTGACTAAGCGGATGAGGTAGGCCAGCGTCTCCGGTGCCATCTGCCGCAGTATGGATTCGATCGCAGAGTCGATGAGGTCCTGCATCTCTAGCCAGCAGCCAGTCGCGAAGAGACCAATGGCTTCAGCATCTAGCTCTTTCGAGATATCGACACCATAGAGTTTGCGTATAGCCAGCTCGAACGAAGCCTGCGTAATGCTGGAATCGATCTCTTCCGGGTGTAGTTTGACTTCCTTGGACCGGCTTTCGAGCCATGGCTCAGAGAGGGCGGTCGTGAAGAAGGGTGCGCGATCGAGGATGAGGCGGTGCAGAGGATATCGCTGGCCAAAGGCGATGATGGTAATGTCCGAGTGTCGTCCTTCGAGCAGCCCGCGGGTGTAAAGGTGGTCAGGCAGAGGTATGGCTTCGCCTGAAACTGACAATGTTAGCCTGTACACACGAGAATCTCATAGTAAGACTCACCTCGCAAATACAATGGTCCCGTCGCGTTGTTGTAGGAAGGTGCCCTAGTTCCAGGCATGGCTGCGCTCTCGCTGAACAACCTACTAATGTCGGTGCGAACAGAGTGCTCTGTACGCATCAGGTCCAACGTCGTGCGCCTTTTGCCTTGTTCTTCCAACGGGGTGTTTGGATCATCGGCGCTCTTTTGGGCTTGGTCTATCCGGGTTTGCAGCTGAACTATGGGCGGTCGTTCCTCTTGACCGTGAGCTCTGGACGCACGCGATGTCATGCTGGAGTAGTTGGCCAGTGACGGCATCGAGCGCGAGTAGCTGAGAGACCTCGAGTGGCTCACGTGTGCCCTGGGACTGTCGGGGACGTCGGACGGCGCAGATGGTGGTATGGCGGGTACGTTGGGCGAGAAGAGGCTGACGTATGGGGTACTACTCGAGCCTGCGCCGCCCTCTGTACGCTCTCCCTCGCCCAACGGCCATGTTTCGTTGCGCTCTAATCCACCAATCTGCGGCTCATTCTCATGATCGAGGTTGTTGTTCCCGTGACCTGTGGGTGGTTGATGGGCGGGATCCATGCTATGCTATAAGCTGCTTTGGAAGTACATGGGGCGTGGTGGTCGACGACGGCTGGGTATGCGACCGGGGCGGGTGGGGTAACGCAGTGCACGCCGGGTCTAATAACACGGGATGGTCACGTACGCGATAGAGAGACGGTGAAAGTCATATAGGAGAAGGGAAGATAGCGGTCGCAAAATACGGTGGAGGCTGGGCGCATCACGCTGCCAGCACGGCAGACGCCAAATGGCGATCTTCACTAGGAGGGGTCCGGTGATGCAGTTGCGAACCTGCGGAGTGGGTCGTCGCTTCCGCCTGTCAACGGGCGTGGATATGCAGGGTTCGTTCTTGGCGCGCCGCCGCGCCGTCGAACCACCGAAGAGTCAAAGTCGATGATGTAGACACTTGCTGCCCTTGAAACTTCCTCCTTCCTCCCCAGATGTCGCTGTAATGGCTTCAATATTCCAGGCATTTCCGCAGCTACGGACTGCTGCTCCACGCCTTTCACGACGCCTCTTTGTATGCAGGCCATGCCTCAATTCGCCGATTCGAGCCGCCGTCTCCGCTTCACGATCTTCATCCCGACCCTCCGTCCTGCAATCGGTGAGGTGGAAATCCACCCAGCCTCTCCGCAGTACCGCGACCATCGAGGGACCGAATGCGGGAAGGGCGATACTCGCGGAAGCTGCGACCACGACTGAGAGCCAGTCGAGCAGCTTCCCCAAGACAACCTCCAAGAGCGTCGCATACTGGCTGCTGGGCAGTGCTGCGAGCGTTTTCGGTATAGTCGTGTTTGGTGGTCTGACTCGTCTCACAGAGTCTGGGTAGGCACCGACGTCACCTCTTCCACCGCACCTGCTAAGTTGAACAGGCTGAGCATCACGGAATGGCGCCCTGTCACCGGCTCCCTCTGGCCCATGAGCCAGGCCGAATGGGACAGCGAGTTCACCAAATACAAGGCATCACCTGAGTTTGCCCAGCTCAACTCGAGTATGGACATGGCCGACTTCAAGCAAATCTACTTTATGGAATGGGCTCATCGGCTCTGGGGCCGCGTCATTGGCATCACGATGCTCGTACCAACTGCATACTTCATCGCACGTCGCAGGGTAGCACCCTCAATGGCCTGGAAGCTCGTCGGTATCTGCGGCATGGTCGGCTTCCAGGGTGTGATCGGCTGGTGGATGGTCAAGAGTGGGCTCAAGGACGACCTCTTTGAGCCTGGTAGCCACCCCCGTGTTAGCCAGTACCGCCTGACTGCCCATCTGGGCGCTGCATTCACCGTCTATTGCTCAATGGTATACACTGGTCTTTCTATCCTCAAGGAGAACCGCATGCTGGCCGACCCAGTCAAGGCGGCAGAGACCATCAAGACTCTGCAGCACCCTGCACTCCGCATCTTCAGACGCTCTGTCTTCGGTCTTACTCTTCTGGTCTTCACTACTGCCATGTCAGGTGCCCTTGTCGCTGGTCTCGATGCCGGTCTCATCTACAACGAGTTCCCGTGGATGGGTATGGGTCTCACTCCACCCAGGAAAGAACTATTCGACCCCTTCTACAGCCACGTCCCAGACCAATCAGACCTGTGGTGGCGCAACATGCTCGAGAATCCGTCTCTCGTTCAGCTTGACCACCGCATGCTCGCAACAACTACCTTCACTGCCATCATGAGTCTCTTCGCATACACTCGCTTCGGCAAGGGTGTGCGGACTAAGCTTACCAAGGATGCCCACAAGGGCGTCCAAGGCATGGTCCATCTCGTCACTCTCCAGGTCACCCTCGGCATCAGCACGCTGATCTACATGGTCCCTACGTGGTTGGCTTCCGCACATCAAGCTGGAGCTCTTGCTTTGCTGACTGGAGCGGTCGTTCTCTGCAGCAGAATTACCATGCCACGTCGCGCTATCCTTCGCCAGATCATGAAGCCGCAGAGCGCGGGATCCCACACTGCTCCTCATATGAGGTCACGACTCGAGGCCGCCAAGGTTGCCGAGAAGTCATTGTAGTATACATCACCACCTTGTACGATATGTAGGTTCGCACATCATATAGACTATATCACCTTTCCTTGGTTTTACGTTCACTTTCTCATTCGCTTGTCTTTTGTCTCTTGACCGCAATGCATGCGGATGCTTGATATAGACATCAATCCATCGCATTGATCAAAGGTGAGTATGATGACTGATACCAAGTACTCGATGGTGTAGGAGCGCAGTCACATCGTCCCAGTTGGAATGCCAATGAGGACTAGTGCACCTTGTGCTCTGCCTTCTCCGTCGTGTGTCCGGCCTTATTACCGCTGGACACACTACCCGTCTCCACCATAGTCGCAGGATCGGTGCCAACCGCTTGTTCCCATCCCTCCTTTGCGATACGTCGGCTTCGCTTTACGACATCGCCTTCGTAAAATAGCCAGTCGACCTCTTCCAGCGTAAGATTAGCAGTCTCGGGATAGCAGAAATACTACACAACACGTTAGCGAATGGAGGTTCCAATATCTTTTCGAATACATACGATCAGCGGTATGAACGCAAAATTCAGTGCCATGAAGATAAGGTAACCCTTCCACGCCAAGCTATCGAGAAGCGTAGGCGTGACCATAACGACGAAGAAGTTCCAAATCCAGTTTGCTGAGATCCCGACAGCTGTCCCTTTCGCTCGTACATGTAGCGGTAGGATCTCGGGTACATAGACCCAAGGAATACAGTTCATTGTCATACCAAACGCCAGCATGTACTACAATTCGTCAGCTTCTAACTTCCCACGCAACGGGTAATTTTGCTTGCCGTAAAGAAGAAAGCGACACTAGCGGAAGCAGTGGCTTGTGATACGTCGCCTCCTTCGGACCGGAAACTCAAGAGGATGGCTATCATCATCATGGAGAATCCGAGCCCGAGAGAGCCCCACATCATGGGTTTCCGCCGACCGGTGCGGTCCAGTGTGAAGGTCGGGAACAGAGAGCCGATGGGGAACATTAGGTTGATAACGCCTCCCATAAGGAGAGCGAGATTTCTGTCGAGGCCGACGTTGTCTTCTAGGACGGAGGTGATGTAGTTATTAGATAAAACTAGAAGCTTCTAGTTAGAGAGTAGGTTTGTGTTATAGCAAATATAAACACTACTTCTTAGGTATATAAAGAGAGTAGGGCTTTACTCTACTCTATTATTTTATTTTACATTAATTTATTAAGTTTAACAGGTTATAAGCCTAGAAGTTTCTACTACACTAATTATACCTAACAGAAACTCTCTTAACAAGGTTACTACTAACCTTACTATTAAAGACGTGTTCTTATACAAGATTACTAAGCTTATTAGATAAACTAACTTTACTAAATAGAAATAAGATATTAAGATTATTACCTAATACCTTAACCTCTAGAATATTCTTAATAGTAATAACATAAATATTAATAAATCTAATATTCTTATATACCTACAAGCTATATATAAGAAAGTTAAACTTAATACTTAACTTACTCTAGATAAGTATAGAAACTTTATTATAGAAGCAGAGGTTAATAAGAATAACTCTAAGTTCTACTAGAATATTATAATTAAAGAAGCTAAGAAGTAATATAAGAGTGCTCTATATAACTATAATAAACGTAATAAGAAAACTAATTAAGTACTTATACTTCTTAGACTCTATATCTTAGACTCTATCTAATTAGTCTTAAATAAGTACACTAATTCTATAGACGTCTAGACATACCTTAAGAAATAATATTAACTTAGTAACTACTAAAATAAGTAAATTCTTTATAAGACTATTAAATTACTCTATCTAAAGAACTGTAAAGACTTTAATAACTTCTTTAGTTAGCTAGAAGAGAATATTATCTATCTTTAAGAACTAGAGAGTATATATAATATAAGCGCTCTTTAAGCTAAGATCTTCTATTCTCTTACTCTAGAGTTTAATAAAACTATTTAATTTATAAATATACTATATAATAGACAAGACGTTAAATAGCCTTACTTTAATAATATTAAATAATAACTCTAAGACGCTAAAATTAATATCTATTAAAATAAGAAAGATTAGAAGAAACAAAAGCCTAATAATAAGAAGAACAATAAAGATTATTATAATAAGAAGAATTAAGGCAAAAAATACTTTGTATAAGAATATAGAGAATATAATTACTCTTAAGATAAGTGCTTTATTAAGTATCTAGAACTTAAACTAGATTAGATAAAGCTAAAGAATAAAGCAAATAAATAAGAAAACTAGAATAAAATATTTAATAAACAAATTAGTCTTATGTTTTACTCTACTAAGATTACTAAGATTACAAAAGTCTAAAGCTTCTACACTAACTATTACTTATCTAACTAGCTAGATAACCTAGACTAAGTAAAAGCTTAATTTACTATAGATAAGGTTACTTATAATAGTACTAAGAATTATAGTAAAAATTAAAGTAGCTAATTAGAGCGCTTAGAGGTCTTAGATAACTGCAATAATAATAAACTAGTTACTATTAATTACTACTAAGGCTACTATATTAATAGTTACTTCTTAGACTAGCCTAACTATTATTAGAATTATAATTAATCTAGTATATAATCTACTCTCTATTCTTACTTCTTAACTAACTCTTAAAAGGTTAGTGTTAATATAGAGTATAGAAATAAGAGAGAGATAGTACTAAGAGATTATATACCTATAAAGATAAATATAGTTATAAGAGCTACACTTATACTTAAGAAAGATAACTTATTAATAAATAAATAGGTTATTAACTCTAGAGCTAGCATGCATCTATATAATAATTAAAACTAATTTATAGACTTAAATAATATTAAACTAAGATCTATATAAATTGCTAACACTAACGCTATATTAGAAATAGTTAGAATTAGTACAGTATACTTAGATATTAATCTAGATAACAGAACTTAGAACTATATTACTCTATCTAACGTTATATACTTACTAGATGCTATTTATAGTTTAGTATTAGTCTTATAGATTATAAAGCGAAAGATTAATAGATTAGTAAATAAATCTATCTTTTAATTCTAGTATACTAAAACTAATAAAACTATTATAATTACGCTAGAAAATAATAGTCTCTATTAACTAAAGCTTATTAAACTTATAGACACTACTACTCTATAAGATACTACTACGCCTTTGTATACATTTCTAGCGATTAATTAAAATAAAACTTTAGAAGACAATTCTATATATATAGATTTCTTATTTAATAATAAAGTTTAGAAATGTTATTAAAACCTAGAATACATAACTCTTAAGAATATACAAAAGTTACTTAAAATAGAAGTTAAGCTTACTATTACCTACGCATAGATTAAAGTAAGAATAAAATAACACTATTCTATCTGCGCTGCTATAAAGAACGTTATTAAGATACTTTAAGATCTAGTAAGCTATACTATAAGTAAACCTAGAGATCTTCTTTATATTAATGTCTAGAGTCTATATAGATTAACTAGTTATAATAGTACTTAAAGTATACTAAACATTATAGATAATGCAACTTAATACTAGTAGATAAAAAACCTAAAGACTGCAAAGACTAATAACGTTATTATATAATATATTAAAGAGCTAAAGATTACTAATAAAATTATTATTTAAAGAATACGCTGCGATAATAGAATTATTTTAAATAAATTTACTACCTTCTATAAAGAAGAGAGTATTTGTCTTAAGACTATTACTCTATATTAATATTATATAGAAGAAGTAATTAAACACGTAAATTAAACTATATAAGACTAAACTACTATTATTCTTAGAGATAGATAGCTAGGCGCTAATAAACCTATTATATAAACTATTCTTAGAATACTTAATACAAAAATATAAGAATTATTAGAAAATATAACTCTACTAGAAAAGCTATAGCCTAAAGTATATTACTATACTATGTATCTTAAGAATTATATACTAACTAGAGCCTTAAAATTAGATAAAACACTATACAAAGCACTTTATAGTAGAAAACTAGATATATCTATTCTATAACTATAGAGAGTAAGAGCTTTTGTTTTAATTCTATAGTTATAACGTATAGATACTATAACACATTAAATAAAGAAGCTTAACGTCTAAGTATAGATAGGTTACCTTATTAGTATTTAAGAAGTATTAAAAATAAAAATATAGAATTCTAATTCTAGAAAGATTTATCTTACTAATATTATAGATATTAAAAGTAGAGAAGTATCTTAAGATCTATAAGATATAATATATAGAAGATCTGCACTAGTATGTTCTTATAATACTAACGCTAATAATAATATAGAATAGTTAGATAGTAGAAGTAAGAATAAGAAGTCTAAACTACTATTCTAGAAACAAAATAGACTATCTATAGCACTTATACTATAAAAAGACACTAAGTATTAAGCTTATACTAAATAATGTAGAGTCTGTAATAGAGTTTCTTCTTTTAACAAAAAATATACTTACTATAAAAAGAAAAGATATAGATATATTTCTTAAGGTATACTAAAAATTCTAAAACTAAGTAGAGAACTTCTAAGAAGTAAACGCTATAAACCTTATTGCTAAAAGAACTATATATGTTATAGCATACCTTCTTTTATTAAATCTTATCTAATATATAAAGAATAAAATATTTCTTATATAGATAAACTAGTAGCTCTATTCTATAAACTAGAAGTTGTAAAAGAAAAGAAATACTTAGAATATATAGCTACAAGACTTACGTGTAATAGAGAATCTTCTTATTTAATATATATAAAAAGAAATAAGAAGTGTATATCTAAGTATATTAAAAAGGCGCTAAAATAGAAATAATATATATATTACAGCTATTATACGCTTATCTATAACTTAGACTAACTCTATATATATTATATAAAGAAAGGCTATAAATAGTATACTTATCTAAATAATAATAATATCTCTACTATAAAGTACTATTATCTAGACTTAATAGACATAATAATATAGTAATACAAAGATAGTAATAGTAGACCTACTTGCAACTTATATAAAATATAGAATAAAAGTTATTCTTATAATTTATAAAACTATAATAGAGAACTACCTTATAATTACTATAATAAACCTATAGTATATAGTATAATAGGTAGTTAATCTTACACTTAACGTAGTTGTTATTTCTATAATCTTAAGAAGAGAGTTAGATAAGTACTACTTAATAGTTACTATAAGAATATACAACGTGTTTCTAATAATTATATTATTAGTATAGAGGTAAAATTACTAAGAATAGAGTTAAAATACAACAAGACACTTACGCGTAAGAAGAAGTAACTTAACGTTAGTAATAAAGAAGAGAAGCTTTTAGAGTTTTCTAACACTAATAATAATAAAGAGAATCTAGAGTCTTTTATTAATAATAATAAAGAGAAGAATATAAGGTTTCTTATTAATAATAGTAGTAAAGAAGAGAAGGTTTTAGAATTCTCTAATAGTAAAGATAAAGAGAAGGTTTTAGAGTCTAAATTATCTAATAATAAAGAAGAAAATAATTTAGATTATAAACTAAGTAATAAAGAAATAAAGAATATAGACTCTAATAGTAGTAATAATAATAATAGTAGTAATAATAACAATAGTAGCGACAATAGCGA